TATCAGTAACAGGCAACATATAACAATTGCCCCCACAGAAGACAGCTATGTGCTGCAAGATGATTAGGAACAATGGCACTTAATTTTGAAATTGTTTAACACTTAAAAGGACTAACTTCTCTCCACAAAAAAAAAAAAAAAAAAAAAAAAACCCAACTCAAATTCAATAAAGCATTTGACAATAAAAATCTGCGATAAAATATTATGAAGCATAACACGACGTTTCGACGTTTCCAGAACATCATTATCAAGTAAACTAAAAACTTGATAATGACTCAAATTCAATAAAATAACTTTACCAAATCTTTACTTATTCAAATTCAATAAAGGAGCTAAATTTTGGTGCAAACCTCATGTTCATTGTGTTCAAAATGAACTATTTCATCCACTTCCTCTTTTGGAATTCTGAAATTACAGACAATGTAAAAACAACCTATTTCTCATTTTTCAGGAAAGAAAGTAAATTGTACAAGTAGGATTCTATGCATGGTTGACTGGATACCACAAATTTGTGCACCTTGTACGGTGATTTGCATGTATGTCTCACAGTCTTCAATTCCATCATCATCCCATTTTTTTGGCTTCTTTTCTGCAATTACTTCAATTACAGCTCACTTGTGACCATCATTTCTTCACTTGAGTTCCATCATATTAAGGCATTTATCATAATTTACCTGGTTGTCTTAAATGTTCTTTCATACTGCCACATGCAGATGGGAATAGTTTTCCTGATCAACAGGGGTTCCAAGTGCTCAGTTTCAATCTCCTGATGATACTTCAAAATAAGGTAGGTCATGGTTGCAGCTCTATAATTGAGTAAGTCAAAAAGTTTTATATTACATCTCAGCTAAAAAGTTTTAAATTCATTATCTGTAAATTTCAGGTGAATTGGGTCAATTTAAATTTTTCTTAGCATCCAACTCTAATTAGATAGTAAGCAAAATGTAAAAACAATCTTACAATGAAGGCAAGGTTGGTTTTCTCAGAATCTAATCTTGTACATTTTCTATGGCTTGCCAGAGCCAAACCTCAATGGCCTAACAGGACTGGAAAGTGATATTCAAGTATTCAAAGAAGGCAGGCAAAGCCTTGATGCAGACAATCGTTTATGATAGACAACAGACCATAAATACTTACCTTGAAGCTTGGACATGTGTGGGATGCCAGTGCTGGTCTAAACAATAGTAGTTGCTGTTGATAGGTAAAGGAGAACGGCCCATGCAGTACACATATTTTTCCCACCAATCTGTGTGATAATTTGGTGCCCACCAGGACTTCAGCTTTAAAATAAACTGGAGCTTGGGACCAAGGTTCTTTTCAAAGTCCTAAAGACAGTATTGATAATTCTTTTGAAATTATCAGGTTCATTAACTTTTCAAGCAAACACTTCACTGATGCTACATGTAAATGATATTTACAAGACAATTAAGGGATACAAACATATTCAACCAGGTAAGTCCTTAAAAATAATTTTTCTTAAAAGGTTGGGTAGTCTGTCTTTATATAAACAAGCTAGTTCTAACAAACTACATGAGAGTAACATGAATGAAATAAAGCTCAAGATAACCACTATAAACCGATTAATTGTATTTGATATCAACTAACTCTATAATAAATATAGCTGTACAGTTCAAATCAAACACTGACCACATAGAAATTGAACACTAACCTTAGCAAGTGCCTCCATCTTCTTGTACTCATCCTCCTTCAAGATTGGCTTCACAGAACGCAACAGTCCTTTACAAGTTTCACTTAGATTTGGTACAGGCATTCTTGGGAGACTGTTTTGATAACTATACAGCTTTGGATAGTGACCAGCACAAAGTTTCACCATTGCACCCCACAATAGTGTCAGCTTGCTTTGTGATCTTGGGGTCTCATCTTCAATTCAAATAATAGAGGTTATGATAAATGGGCCCGAATTACTGAGTATTCTCATTTACCTGTTTGCTAAAGATGTATAGAAATAATACAGAAAAATTACATGATAATCACTTCTGGTAGTTTAAGCATTAAAAAGCAATGAGTTTACTTACACATCCACCCTCTATAAGCCAAAAGCATCCTCAACAGATACTGACGTAGATAGAGAAGGATAATAAAAAACACCACTCCAGCCAGTACTGAAATGAACAGAAGCCTGAGGTTGTAAGGATATTTCTCATCCAGATTAAGAAGATAAGTCACTTTCCATATGACTGCTGTAAATGGTTTGAGGGACGATAGCTTGTAGAAATCAGCAGCATACAGTAGAGCAGCAATGACCACAACAGCACCCAACAAGTTGGACCATGTTGTTGGCCATAATCCATTTGCTATTTGGCGGCTGAAAAAAAAAAAAAAAAAGTATACAAACACGAATTGAACAGAGTAAAAGTACATGCACACAGTTTTTCCATAAGTTTTATTTGTAGCAAGGTGAAACTGGTACTTATACCCGGGATTATCATACAGAATTGATTTCACTTCTGCCTACCAACATACCAAGAAGTTTAAAGGTTGTAAAGTACACTACCAAAAAGATGGGAAGGTGCAAAACAAATGTGTGGTCACCTTGCAATACAGCATCACAGTATTTCAATGACTACACATGCCACAGTCACAATTGAATTTTGCTTAGATTGTTGCACGTTTATGAATTTTGTATTTTTGTTGTCTTTTTTCAGCTATGCACTGCTTTCTCAAGTACAAATAAATCTTCTCAATTTTGTTCAGTTTTTAGAGGATTTCTTTTCTCAAAAAAAAAAACTACTTAAGACAATGGAGAACTGTTTGAGAGTTTCTTTATGATATCCAGGGTGAAATAGCAGTGATTCAATTAAAATTTACTCAACCCCATGTCAGTTCAAGAAATACATGTAGTTCAACATATCTGGCTTTTGGAAAACAGTATGGCAGTAATCATGGGTCCTGACATGAGTTTTAGCTATAAACAATAAAGTTTTGCCGAGTGGCAGAGCCGTAATCAGTTGTCTCCTTTTCACTTGGAATTCCTTGAAAATTCAACAAGTAGAGGGATTGCTTTACTGGTTTGAAAATTTCTTTCACCTGTCCTGCTTAAAATAAGGGAGAATGCTGTGTAATGATCCCAACAAGAAAAAAGTTCATAGCTCACAAGGGCTTCAATATCTTTAATGCCTCAGATGTGGCTATCCATAGCTAAGTAAGTGGATAGGACCACCAAGGAAACCATCCAAATCTAATGGATAACATCTCTCAAGTTATAATATGTAATACCTAATTGGCTTATCTATAACTTATCTTATTGTTTTTCATTGTTAGTGTATGTGTATGCTCTGGTAGTCATTTCCTCTGTTCAGTCAAACTTGGTATTGAAGAATTTATTTTATTGAAGAATTTATTTTAATGTTTGTTTCCCTTCTGGTTTTCTGAAAGCACTACAGGATAACAAGAGTCACAAATGATAAATTTCTGCAAGGACTTTACATGGAGAGGAGATATTTATAGATGCCAATTGATAAATACTTCAGTGCCAGTTTAGACCTGCTAGATTAGTGCCTCTATATGCCATCACAACCAAGAAACATGACTTTAAGATTTTTTCAAAATTTAAAGCATCTGGCATTTTTAAGACTTGGATGAATACTTTCCTAATACCCTAAGCCATGATGTTCCAAGCTTTAATTTCCTCACACAATTCAATTGCAAAATTAATGAAGTGAAGATTGCCATTGTATTACTGCCATTATACTTTGATTGACTGTACAATTAACATGAACTGTATATTCTTTCCATGAAACTGAAAAATCTTAATTTCTTTTTCAATAAAATCTAAACGTAATAAAAATTGCATTCTGCTCTATTTTCTCGGCCTCCTCTTTTTGGCCGGTTTGATCTGAAGGGACAGGATGCCAGAGCTGCAGGGTTCAAAGTCCGTTTCAAAACATCTTCCAAGCACGCAAAAATTTGATATGCTGAAAAAAAAGCTTTGGTGAGCCAAAACAATAGTAAGAGAAACTTAATAAGTGTTGTATTAAAATCCTGCCAGAGTAGATGATTCGACCTCGAGGGAAAAAACGTAAACGTGCGGAAGGAAGGCAAAGCTCTTTCGTCGTATTCAAATATGGATTAGGTGGTAATCGTCTTATAGACAGAATTTTAATTTTATAAATTTGGTCTGTAAAATTACAATTTAGACAACACTACAAGGAATTTCTGCTTCTATTTATCTCTGACGAAGTGTACGGCGATTACTTCTTGAAATAATTTATCAAAGCAGGATCTAAACTAACGATACTGTACGTGTATCGCGTCCTCTTCAATAATTCGCCGGAATGTACGAAAAAATATACGACCACGCGCTGTAAACTGCAGAGAATCAACGTGCTTGCTTTGAAAACCTAGTTTCGATCGAAAGTATCGAGATCAAAAGTTTTCACGTTGTATCATTATTATTTGCTTTCAAATATCATCGTTGGTGGTGATAACTACAACAAAACTCTCGTAAAACTGCGACGTATGTGGAAATAAAAGTTTTCCGAAAGTTCAAATCGTAAATACTGAGAGAGAAAGACCTTCATTTTAAACATTCTCAAAGGGAAACAGTAAAAATGTCATGAGGTGTTACATGTAAAACGATCAAGGTATCGGAAATCACTCGTCTGAACTTACCGAGTTCTGAAAGCACATCTCTTAAGAGATAATAAAGTACTCTTCAGCAATTCAACTTCGGCTTCTGTTTTGCTGGTCCCTTCGGCGTGTAGATGGACATCGGGGCTTGTAACAGCCGCCCTGGCTTCAGCCATGGTAAATTACGACACGATTATGTTAAGTTTTAGTTTTAAAATGAAGATAAAACTTCTTATCCGCAGGTAACTTTCCACACAGAATATTTCGTTTTTACCAACGCTTCTTCCTTATGTTTTGGTTTGATTTGTGGACCAATCAGTATGCGAGCTGGTAACCAATCAAATCTTCTCTACGATGGCGGCCTATATAAATTATTTCATTTACCCTCGCGTCGCTTCATTTCGCGCCAAAATCATTTCACACCTTTAATGTCTTTGGACGGCTATCAAACATGACTACTCAGCGAAAGTTTTCTTGTGTAGTTGCTGTGGCGGAGGGTGGAGGAATTGGAAAAAATAACACGCTTCCCTGGCGTCTGAAGTAAGCTAGGTGACATTGTCTACCCTAGTTGCATCGTATAGGCATAATGTTTGCGAGTGCGTGTGCTGATCCATTGTTGGGAGTTCTGAAGTTTGCTTGCGTTGTAAAAAATAATCTTGAAAACTGAACCAACACCAGCTTTATAAAATTTCGAGACTTAGTTATTCTTACAGATCTCATCTGGAAAAGCTTCTCAAATCAGCATTTTTGTTGCGAATGTCACATCTCTGATCGCTTCACAATGTTCAAATTTCAGTTCGTGCACAAGAATTCACGTCCCGAACGTATTTTGTTTTGTTTTCTGTTTATATTTTCTCATGTTGATGTTTTTTAGGGTATGCTTAACTTTAACTTTTCTTATTTTTGTGGTGTACTCATGATACTTAAAGATCTGATTACCTTTCAATTTGCTTCTTTTGAAAGGTGTAGTATTTCTGTGATCAGTGATTCCCCTAGGGGGGTCTAAGTAGGTGGGGGAGATGTAGATACGAGGGCATTTCTAGGGCGTGGTCTAAATTTCACAGGTTGCTGATAAGCGTTATCCGAAAACATTGGTGGAAAAAAAAACATCTGCTCATGCAAAAGGGTCAGTTTTAATTGGTCGCAAAGAACTTTCCCCAGGGTTTCAACTTTATTTTTGGCAAGAATGTAAAATAATTGGATTTATTTTGGTGTAAGGTAAATATGTAGGGCTCAGAATATCAACCTCCACCTTTACCTCCTGCTGAGATATGACTTCTTGGCTATAAATGAACTCTCTTTCTTTGAATGAATTTCTTTTTTTATTTCACTAATAAATAAAATTTCAAGTTAACATAGTTATTTTAGTTCTCAAATGAAACATCACATGACCAAATGAAACTTTGTATTCGATGACAGTCAGAGAATGTTGTTGGAATTTCTCTGTTCTAGTGCTGATTGGTTTAAACTCTCAGCAGACAATTCAGAGACAAGTACATTGATGAACAGAGATGTAGTACTAAACTGAGTGAACTTTATTTGAATTTGTTTTTAGAGCAGATTTGAAGTTTTTCTCCAAACTCACTTCTGGAGTGCCCACTGAAGGTAGGGTGAATTTGCATGCAAACCCTACAGGAGATTTTGATGAGTTCATCATGTCAGTTCCAGTTCCCTGAGTTACATTATATTGTGGCAGAGTGCAAAACCAATAATTGTATGATTGTCATTATTTGATTGCACAATTTTCTGCATTCACAGGGAAGCAAAATGCAGTTATCATGGGCCGCAAGACGTGGGAATCCATTCCAGCCAAATACAGACCCCTTCCCCACAGAATGAACATTTTGTTGAGTAAAAACTTGAGGTAAAGACTCTGTTTCATGTTCAATTTTAGTTTATTCAGAATCCAATGAAGCATGTCTTATCTTGGCACTGACAGTCTAGTGGTATTTTTTTTGAAAAATCATAATTATCCAAGCAGTATTGTGACAGGATTTGGAGCTTTTTTTCAATCACCTTATTATTTTTTTTATTGAAGTATGATCCCTCAACTTCCAATCAATTTCATTTGAGATTAGTAAAAGGGGGGAGGACTGGAGGACTGGGTCAGCTTATTCAGCATTTCATTTTAGTTGAAGCCAGCCTAATATTAAGTTTTAAGTACATCATGACTAAACACACCACTCTATCCCATATTGCTGCCTGATAATCATTTTCCCAGTTTCTTGGTTAAGAGCAGTTTGTTTTTATTGATGGTTACAACATCATCTTGTGATCATCAATAGAGCTTTATTTTTAGTCACAAGCCTTTGATCTGTTATATGGCATGTCCCAATAACTGAAAGACAAATTTATCAATAAATGAATACTTTTATTTTCATTGTCTACGTATAGTGTAGCTCCTACAGGTGCCACCCTTTGTTCCAGCCTGCAGGGTGCCTTTGATCTGTTGTCAACTGCACAACACATAGACAAAGTGGAGAAAATATTTGTGATTGGGGGAGCAGCAGTTTACAAGGTAAGTTTTGCCATTACATACTGGAGTGGTATTGGATCATAACCAATGATAGATTTCCACCTTGTTTCATGCCTCTCCTTATGCTACAAGTTATTGTAGAGGAATCATGTTCTTCTAATATTTGGTCAGTGAAATATTCTGGGCCTGGTTGTTAAAGCTGGGTTGAGATAACCCTAGGATAATGGATAAGTCTGATTTCAGATCTGAAAGCTTTGAAAGAAAATTCAGCATAATTCTTTTTGTCAACTTGACAATTTGATGATTGGATGCTCCATAAAGAATGGAGAAAGTAATCTTAAAAAGGCTTTTGAACAAAGGAATACAGAAACTTGGAATAAAATTTAATCTTGTGTAAGGCGGTTAGCATTACTGGTAATTGCCCTTTGCACAACTGGGTCCTGGAGTGGTAGAAATTGATCTACTAAACTATGGCAATCGATAGCTTGAAATCTGTATTATTATCACTTTGTTTGAAATTGTGGCATTTACTAACCGGAAATTCAGTGATTGTGAAGAACAACCCCCCTCTGCTGACTGTCAGCTGATTGTGAACTGACTGTTGGCCAACTACCGGTTGACTATCAGATAACAGGTTTTTTCAGGGAGTATTGCTTTAATAACAATTACTTTCAATCATTAGGGCCCAGATGGAAATTATATCAAATTGTGAAAATCTGGTTAATAATTTACTGAAGACAAGTGAATGTTGTCGAATAATCCTTATGAAGTCAAAGAGATTATGAAAAAGTGTTCACTGGGCCTGAGGCAAATGATTGTTTTAGGATAATCACTCAGGTGCTTTTGGAATCTACTGTGAATAATGAAAGCAATACTCATATTTTGTTACAATTGTGGTGATTACTTGTATTAAGATAAGCAAGGATTTTTAACAGATTTAATTTAATCAGAAAAAAACTTTGAAAAGTGTTTTGTAAAACTCTGAGTGGCATCTTTTGCGCCTCTTGAAACTGAATTTTATACTATAGCATTTATCACTTCCCTGGAAGTGATGAAAATGTGAGGCAGCCATTTTGAAACTTAGCACTTCTGCTGTAATCACCTTGTGTGAGATGATTATAGCAGGATACACAATCCTTCACCAATCAGAGCATGCACATCTCTATAATCACCAGAGTAATTATACCAACTGTACTGTTATTATTAGTTACTAATATTGTTATTATTACTCATTCATTCATTAGGAAGCACTCCAGCATCCCGCTGCTCATCGCTTGTACATTACCCATGTGTTGAAAGATTTTGACTGTGATGTACATTTCCCAGAATTTGACAAAACTGTATTTAGGGAAACAAGGTATGTAAAAAGGACTTTTTCCTTTTTGGGGGAAAAAAACTCTTAGCTCAGTTCTTACAACAACTTGGTGAGACACACTGAATTGCAATTTTTTGTTTGACCCAAACATGTTAAGTTCAATTGTAAGGCTAGGTCAAATGTCGAACATAATTCATTAAACCAAACAAACAAAAACAAACCTGTTATTCAACAGGATGTCATTTGTAATTTATGTAGTAACTTTAGCTCATAGAAAGATTAACATTTGACCCATAGTTGATCCTCACACATTCTATCCCTCTGAAGCAGACAGACAGAACTTGTTGGTGGATCCAAATTGAGATGGACAAACTCAACAGATTCAAATGCCGAACTTGACATGAACTTGATTCTCTTTGAATGTTTTGTTGCATGTGAAGTTCAATGTTTAAATTGGGCCTTGGTATAATTTTAGTGCACAGGTGCTGTTTCATGTGAACTACTGGGTCCCTGCCGAGTTGATGAGTTTTCCTCTATTTTCCACTGTGAAATGTCATATCAACAGTTTCACAAATGGGGTATTCAGTGAATGGTCTTTTCTCTGCTATGTTTGAAACATCTGACTTAGGCTGGATAACCAGCCTCTGTTCACAGGTAGACTACCCACAGGTTGGACAGGGAGGGCAAACTTCTTGAATACCATGTATAAAAGGAATGTGTGACAGATGCAAATAAAGGACTGAAAAATAAACACCATTTCTTTGTCTAAAAAAGCTCAATAATTAAAAGTGAAGCAGAATGTTGGTGAACTTAAGTGTAGCAATCTTTTGCCTCTGTGGGCCGTTTAAAGTGTCCTTTTTACTGAATGGTTCCTAGCTGTTGGTATTCCAACATACAAACTAGCAGTAGAGAAAAATTTATAGTGGGCAATTGTTGACGGGTTTAATTATTCATTTTTGTGTTTTATTTAGTGATCCAGATGTGCCAAGTGGTGTTCATGAAGATAATGGAATCAAATATGAGTTTAAAGTATACCAGCGAGATATCTAATACTGTATACAAGCTACATCACAGTGTACACGAAGCTCACTTAAAGGAAGAATGTATCTCAAAGAAATTAAAATGTAGTGGCTTCAAGCCATGGAAAGCAGCCTTGTCAAGGCTGCTAATGAAGGCCTTAAGGCACTAATAAAATAAAAACCTCAGGCACTGAAGGATTTACTTTCTCCTTTTTCTTATTGGAAAGTACAAAGTAAGAAGTCAATTTTTAAAATTATGTGTTCTGCAGGTTTTAATAACTTTCTCCATAAGCAGCTGTTGATAGTGTTATAGGCAGCTGCGCTAAAAAATGGGGGTTGGGGTGAGACCTCTTAGGGGGGGTCTGGGGGACATACCAAGGACAGTGGTGAGAGGTCTTAATAGTGGCAGTAGAACCCCAGTAACTGGCTGTTAATAAGACTACTGGTGTTATGAAATTCATATGACCTGTGAACACTAGTTTATATGTGAACTTTTACTGAATGCCTGTTCATTTTCTGTCCCACTGAGGGGAAGGTTGAGGTATAATAATAAGGGCTGGATTAATACCAAGGGACATGGCACACCCTGATTTACCCCAATTTCCCCTCACCCTACACTCTTGTTCCATGACAAGAGAGAAAAAAGGTGTCCAGCGGTATAATTTTTCTAATACTCCTCCAGATACTCAATTGCTTAGTCTAGTACATGCCCTGACCAGGATGATAACAGAGCTAAATTTTCTGGTGTGATGCATAATAACAGGCTGGAAAGTTGTTTCAAGTTTTTAAAACCCTTTGACCCTGAAGAGTGACTAACATCTAATCTTTCCTTACATTATCACCCTTTAATCACAAAGTAAGGTCACAAGAATAAAGAAATCATCACCAACTGAGGAATCTCTTGATTGTTGGACAAACTCTCCTCCTCAACACCTTCAGAAATGTGTAGAGAACAGTATGGAGAATATACCTGCTCATATTCAGGTGTAGGAGGTTAAGAGAACTGAATGGGCATTGTTTCCCAGGGCCTTGCAAGTGATTCTCACTAATTAACAAAAATATGTCTACCTCACTCAGCAAATAAAGGAAAAAATCTGACAAGATCCTGAAATGTGATGTGATTTTTATTTCTTGTATTTCTTTGCTTCTAGAGCTTTTTAAAATTAATTTAAAGAACATTATACAAGAATGTCTCCATATTTTTTCCTTTCCTTTGACTTATTCCCCCTGCTGATTACTAAATAGCATGGCAAGAGAGGGACAGAGAATTGGGAGCAATAATTTACAACTTCCTGATTCAATATTTAGTATTCAATTTTGGTTCTGAAATGACAAGCTATACTTGATTTATAATTATGCTTTCTTTTGACGTAAAAATGCATGAAGTAAGTAATTAAATACACAGTACATTGAGTGCTATTTCCATCAATAAACTACATGTATGTTGGTGACAAGAAAACAAAAATCAGTTCTGTAACATCAAATGCTTCCAAGAGCCTCGTCAGGTAATGCAGCAGCTGGTTTAAAGTACTTATACAGTTCAGCAAATGACGATACTGTCCCAAGAAGGCCAACAGTTCCAATCGACAGTTTGCCAGCCCATAGGAAACCAGCTGGAGCCCAATGGATGGCCATTCCTAAATCAGAAGTGAATCCTATCACTGAGATGATAAGTCTTCTTTGTAGATATTTTATCTGATTTTGCCTGGATGATGATGATGTTTGTGTATCTCCACTGCTGTCACTGACAAGCTGTGTCCTGAGTAGGAAAAATATGAAAAAGGTACTTTTAATATAGTATTTTTCCCAACATGAAAGATGTTAGTGTTTAACCCTTAACTCCTAGAGGTGATTAACATAACACTTCTCCCTACAATATCCATACATTCTTAAGCAATTGGGTAATGAGAATATTCAAACTTATCAGGTAGAAGCTACTATCTTGATCTAGCACCAAGTTCTCATAACTAATTTACAAGGAAATGTGTAGCAGCTACAGGGGAGAATTGACAATCATATCTTAAGAGTTAAAGGGTTAAAGTTCATTGCAGTTAGCAATAAGAAATGCTTAGGTGAAATTGGAGTGCTTTTTACATATATTCAGATCAACTAGAAACAATTAATTCATCACAGAAATTTTCTGATTTTACAATTTATATTAGTTAACAGTACACATTTTTTTTAGGACATGACCAAACTGGATACTGACCTGCTCTTTTGCAGGTGCTGAAGCTTTCTGAGAAGCCACAAGTCTCTTATAATACATGCTATAAGTGATCCTATCCAAGTGTATAGAGACAAGTCCCATAGTTTCTCAGATTTACCAGCCAGCAGTTTCTTGTCCCTTGCCCAGGCAACATGCTCCAAAGGGTAAAATGTCAAACCACAGAATATGTCCACAAGATTTGTCCAGCGCACAACTTTGTCCCTTTCCTGGCAGAAAGAAAAACACCAAACTTCAAATAAAGTAGAGACATTACTTAAGATTATTAGCAATAAATGCATAGCAACCATAATAATTCCTTAGACAATCCTAAGACAGACAAAGATCACTCCCCAAGGAAATAAGCAAAATTCATCATTATCTTTCATATCCCATTTGTCAACTGATTCATTTTTGGGGAGAAATGAATAAAAATTCCACATAAATTGCCTGACCTGCAACCCTTACATAACTTCCTAAATTAACATTCTCAATGTTGTTCATGAAAAATTGGTTTCCTAGCCAGATGTAAACACCTGCAACCTGGAAACCACTCCCCTTCACGTCATGGTTTCCTACGCTTATCTCGTACAGGCTATGTAAATACTTCCTGAAATTGTTTAGATACGCTCATGTAAAATGGTTATATGGCCAATCAGAGCGCGCGTACTATTTGAATTATTTTATAATAAGAGATGATCAAGACTTTGTTTTGAAACTTGTAGACTCATTTTCTGGTCTTTGAATGAGGAAAACATTTAGTGGGCAAATGTGCACTTCCAGTCTTTTGCTGACCTCAGGTTCCCGTTTGTAAACTGTACAGTCCAAGTCAAGGTTGTGAATTAACTATTTTAGAAAAATAAATGCATTATCGCTTTAATCCTTTAACTTTCAGAAGTGATTTACATGTAACTTCTCCCTATAATATCCATACACAGTGCAGCAGACAGGTCATAAGAATAAACAAACTTATCAGAAAGAAGTTGTTATATTGTTGTAATTATCAGAAAGAAGTTTAATTTCTCAGTAAATGACTCAGTGGAACTTTTTGGCGTTACAATTGATAAAGATCTTAAGTTTAAGCAACATGTGTCCTCTATATGTAAAAAGGTAAACAATCAGTTTAGCGTTATGACAAGGTTCAGTAAACTGATGTCTACTGAAACCATGCTACGTCTTTATAAGGCATTAATACTTCCTCACTTTTATTATTGTTCTATGGTGTTGCATTTCTCTAGTAAACAAGATTCTGTTAAATTGGATCTTTTAAACAAACGTATTCTTCAATTTGTTTTCAAGGATTTTAACTTTGAATACAATAATTTACTTAAAAGGGCAGGAACTGTAAACCTTAAGGACAAGCGTTTACAAAACATGATTCTTACTATTTTTAAATGTCTACATTTTCTGATAATCCAAGATATTAAAAAGATATGTTTTGTTTGTGCTCTAGTACCTATTTTTTAAGAGGAAATAATATACTCTGTTTGCCTAAACCATTGACCACTTCTTCTGGTATCAATTCCTTTAGTTACTTGGAAGCAATATCTTAGAATTCTCTTCCTGACCATCACTGCACTATTTCTGATTTGACTTCTTTTCGACGACTGTTATCTACTGGGTACAATAATTTACTTTAAAGGGCAGGAACTGCAAACCTTTCTACATCAAGATGATTTGCTAGTTAGTTGTCTAGGTAGTTAGTTATCCTATTTGTTATAGAATTAATCTTTTTATTAAAATTAATTATTAATGTAGTTTGCTCAAAGACATTAGCACCTGAGTGCTACACTGTAAATTCAAGGGTAAATAAAGTTTATTGATTGATTGATTGATTGATTGTTACCGTGATCTAACACCAAATTATTATAAATTATTTTCAAGGAAATCTGTAGCAGCTGGAGGGGAGAATTAACAATCAGATCTTGGGAGTTTAAAGTTTGAGGGCCTTCACAAAGTCCAAAACACAAAGCATAAATTTTAAATTAATTCAAGGCTCTACACTTGTACATGGATAATGACACATCATATGATTTCTTCCGCAACAAATCTTAACATATGTATGAAGTAATGAGTAATGAGCCTCCCATCAGAACAAACCTTCCCTACCCTAGACGCTACTCTAAAAAATGCTAGAAGCCATGATAATGATTCCCCGAACCGGAGTATTTAGGTTATTGGGTTGTTTAAGTTGAAGAAATTTCTATAGTGAAAAATGTACTTCCTTATTCTTTTTTAAAGCCATCATTTATTTTTGGTTTCATGTTGTATTGTTATTTCCCACCTCTTTTCCAGTTCCATAATCGCGTGCGTAGGACAACATTGCAGCGTCATCAAACAAACGAAGGAAAGTCCGACATTCACTAATTGCTTCCGCCCAGATCCGAAATTTTCCTGCACTAGATTCGTAAGACAACTTCTGCAACCCTCCACTCGCCAAATAGCTGGCATACTGAAGGAGTCGCATTAGTTTCTCTCTGCCTCTATATGTTTCCAAAACACGCGCCACCTCCGCTACCGATTCCGCCATATTGTTCGAATGAACTTTAACCAAAGACAAGTTTCTTCCAGGCGTTTCACTCGACAAGACCTGGAAACAAAGCTTGCACAGGTATCCCAAGCTTTCCCCTGTTTGCCCTTCACTCCTATCTGACCTGTCTTGCGTAGTGGTGGGTGACTTTGAAAAAAAAAATATTGAAAAAAAAAAATTTTTTTTTTTTTTTTTTTTTTTAAGGAAGATTATTCAGTTTCAAATGAAAGGCTCGATACTTCTAGATTTTTCAATTGGTGCCTGTAATTGGCTACTAAACAAACACATTCGTATCAAAACTCACACAAACTCAACTGTGTCTTTATTTTTTGACCACTTAAACCTCTGAGCTCAAATTCGAAAATATAAAGTTACATAAGACTAAAATTTAATGGGTATGCCACCGCCGGGTCAGCGCCACGGGAGTGAAAGTTTTATGAGCATCATAGAGATTTATCTTAAATTTAAAAAAAAATCCTACAATTATTACTTGTTACGGTAGACAAACATCAAAGTGGAAATAATATAGGAAAAACGAAGGACGACTGTTAAGGAGGGAAAAGATGAACACGGATTACAAATTATTAAAAACGTGTTGAAAAACTAATCTTGTAAGAGGCGGCAGAGCAGCAAGGGCAGGGGAGGGCTGCAGCTCGTACAAGCGAAAATTGGGAGGGGGGGGGGCGGCTAAGCCCTCTACTCTTTAGTATTAGCGAACGTCAAATAAGAACTAATTGAACGGTTTTGTTTGGTTGCAAACTCTTGTAATCTTTTAGAAGTGTTCAGTCGCCAAAAGTAGCAGAATTACATGTAACTGCAGCTAGTTTCTGTTCTTATAAATATATTTCTTTACATCACCAGTCTGAACTTTATGAAATTCACTTTCCAGGCATTTCAATTGTCCGTCTTAAATTAGTATCCTCTCATCTCAAGGGCCGTTTAAAACTGCGGTAGTAAAGATGCAAAAGGCTTGTTAGTGGGTGTTGCTCCTTGTCTCAGTCAGTTTATGATTCGATTTTAGAGTTGTATAAAGCCTTCATTTTTTTTAAAACCAATAAACTACCAGTCAAATTCCAAGTGCACATGCTACAATACCAGCAGTTTGTATTCTCCCAGAGCATGTTGGGTTTTCTGTGAGCCGAGCGTGACAATTCTTAATGCAGGGGTCAGTACTTCCATCTTCAAACATTATCAAACGAATAGCTTTATAATAATATCCAGGATTGATGCTTATCTGATTTAACATGCCCTCTGTTTTGAGTGAAGGTAAGTGATGAGCCTGCTATATCTTTTATTTTAACCTATCTGTTAACAAAATCCGCAAAGTCTATATTCTGGTAACTTACAAGCAACTTAGCTTACAGAAAATTCGTTATAACATTGAGTAGTGAAACCTCTCAGTTTACCGTTCAATTTAACAACGAATCGACCAGTGTATAAACTTGCTTTAAACACTTGCCTGTTGGCATCTTTAGTACACTCTAGCGAATTATTTGATCAAGTTTTGTATTGACTTTTTTTACTCATTGGTTGCCAGTCTTTCACCATCACACCGATTGACTAGGCGGTAGGGAATTAAGAGCACGCTTCTTTAAAAGATACTACCGGCTATATTTTTGCATTTAAAAGACTTTTAAAAAAAGTAGCTCTACTCTTGTTAATTTATGCAGGATTTTTAAAGGTCTTAAAAACCATGTGCATAAATGTGAAGAAGTCATTTTCGCACCCGTCAATTAGCACTTTAAGACCTGTAATCTCATCAAACATACCTGTTGAAAATAATTATAAAACCTTTCAGAACTTTTTTTCGATTGAAAACGCAACCTGTATTCAATTTGGTGCCATTTCAATTGTTTAAGAAAGTCTGCTTAAAAGGAGCCATGAAATTTCACCACGAGAATGATCTTAGTTTTGATTGTATTTTCTGGCAGTGATAAATCAAACTGCTGATAACTTCACTGATTCAATAACCCACATGCACAGTACAGCAACCGTCAGTGGTTGGATTGCACCGGTTCGTGATACCAGTTAAACAAAGTTGAGATGAACAAACAGTAAGCTTGTGGTCTGCGCGATTGACTACAAGTCAAGAGGTCTAGGTTGAAGCGCTAATTGAGTCATGGTGCTACGTTCTTTGGTTAGAAACTTTACTCACACCACCCGATGGATACCAGCAGACTAAGGGGGTCCGGGGAAAACCTAACGAATTGGCGGGGTGGGGGGGGGGGGAGAGTGGAAGTAAGCAAGCTACTATGAACAGGATATCAAGGAAGAGGATACTCTTAGTCGCTTTATGCCATGGAAACCAGTATAAGCTCCATCTACCACTTCTATACGCGACCCGACCCAAACCTCCATCGCTATTTTCATATGCCGCTACTATCGTACCGTGTACTATTTCGCTATGTTTTACTGACTGAAGGCCTGAAACAGGCTAAATGAGCCACTAGCGCTCCTATTGCTGTCCATTTGAAATTTATAAAACCAATTCTTTCTTTTCTGTAAGACCTATTAAACGGACTGCTTTTTAAGACTGGTGTGTGCCTTGACACCGAGGGGAGACGCCTTCAAATTCGCTGTCCCGACTAAACACCTTTTCTTACCATTTTTTATTTTACTCTTAGTTCCAATCATAGAAAAACACCCGGAATCCTGTACAGTTCAGTTGGGAAAAGACTGCAAGCTTTTCTGCCATGTTACTGGCAAGAATCTCAAGTATCGCTGGTACAGAAGATCTCGATGCCTGGAGGGGGAGGTTAGTAATACTCCGACCACTCCTAAGGTCATTCTAACAAACATTGGTCACGATATTTAATCAGTTACACGGCCCATTCAAAAGGAAACAATACTACGCTTTTCATAAACTATCTGGGTAGCTCAGTTGTAAAGCGCCGAACTGCCGTGCGGGAGGTTCAGACCGGGCCTAAAATAATTGTGGAGAATGTGTTGCCTTTGCTAGGACATTGGCGAATGGTAAGCGTTCTAGTCTTCTCGGATAAGGACGGTAAACCATACCGTACAGGTTAACAGGGGTTGTTAAAGAATCTACGGACTTCTCGCAAAGATTTGGGAACTTAGCTACTGGTGTTGTGGTCTGGCCTCGTTTTTGTTTACACAGGCCCCCATTTAACCAGCTTTAAGCTGAACTGGGCCAGCCTTTCTAAATATCGCAATTACATACATGCACACTAACATCATTCAACACGGTGTTGGTGACTTGAAGGTTAGCGCAAATGAAAGTATATTTTTAACTCTTGGGTGACGAATGACGCAGAAGAATGTCCAAATTGTTGTTGAATGCTGATTAAAATGCAAAAATCGTTATCGAATCTGATTTGCGCGCAAATGACCGTTTTTTGTCGCTAATGAATGTAGCTTCTCGCAATTGTTCGTCTTTTTCACTTAAATGAATGCGTATTTTTTCGTAGAGAATAACAAAAGGTGTACAACGGTTATCAGACAACCACCCACACAAGCGAGTAAATCGCGGTGTTTGTTAAAGCAAAAAAAATGGTAAATCAGCAGGAAATCCGTAATTTGATAAACTTTGTGTACGAAAGTCTCGAGTTTTCCTTTTCCCAACTTTTGTTTCTTATGCAGATTTCAATGAACATTTCAATTTTTTCGCATATCTTGCGTGACAGCAGCTGTTTCTAAGTTTCCTATGAAATTTTGTTCGGGAAAGTGCCGCGCAGCCGGCCAAAATTGGATCCCCTTGCGCATGCGTTACGTTTGATTGCTACGTTGGATATCCCTGTAAGGCTTGAGATAACTGACATATCTAGCGAATGACAGCCTTGAAAAATTTAAAGACTACATTTTTTAAAAATACTTAAAACCCTGACATAACCTAATGTAAAAGTCCTCTCAGAACTTTTGGATGTCCTAAAGTGAAATATAAGTAAATTTAGGTCATTATCAAATTTTTCTCTTTTATTCAAAAATGTAATAAGTCTATTCTGGCTAACAATTTATTCCACTGTTTTTATTACCAGACCTCTTCAGTACTCCATATAAGGAAAGCCGCCATGAATGACGCTGGGCAGTACTCATGCATCATATCGAATGACAAGGAATCTGTGATCACCTGGGCAACCGTTGACGTCATTTCCGTTATTTCATCCCCTAAAGTTAGATAGCAAATTAGGAAGCGAAGTTTTGTTTCGATTTTTCGTGCGAACTTGAAGATATAAATAGGAGCCTTTTTGTATACATTCGTCAATTACTTACTCTTCGTTAATCGTTTGTCTCCAAGCATGCCAGGTCAGTTTAGAGTCAATTTGATAAATAAAGTGCATTTCTACTGAGTGTCGTGAAACCAGAGTAACCAGAACAGCCAATCGGAAGACAGGTATATATCACAAGGAGCCAATAACATCGCCAAGAAAAAAGCGCAGGAATACGCGAGTAAGCAAGTCGTGATTCACTTTAGCTTTAAGCCTGGTTGCGTTAAAGAATGGCGCGAGTTTTCTGAACCGATAACAAAGAGCTACAACTAAAGTAAAGGAATCCTGGAATACTTTCGACGCCCTATTTAAGTACGAACTTGACTCCATTTCATAGCATAGGGAAGCCCGGCTGTGGCACAGTGCAGCCAATTACTTTAATACTTAAGAGGAAACAAGTAAATAGAAAAGTGAAATAAACGAACAAACCAAGCAGAGTAACACTTGATAAAAGTTCTTCATGTCTAGCTCAACATGAAAAATGATTTTTCTTTTCCCTTGATTGTTTTTTTTAATATCTCTGAAAAGGCAAGAATTAAACTTTAGCTTTAACCAGGCCCTCATTATAAGCGCTGCAGGACCCGCGTTTCTAAGCCCGCGGTAAGACTTGAGACGAGTTGAGGAGAGGTTTACCGGGAGTCTGGCACTAACAGCGCTTGAACGCCGGCTCACGGTGCCCAAGGCCTCACACGAGGAACCTTAAGCAAACCACGATGGCGACAGCAGCGAGGATGAGGCAAAACAAAAGATCTAATGAGCAGAACAACAGCTCAGTGCGTGCGTTTTAAGACTGTGTACATTTCTTCGCAGTCCTCTGCAAAATAACAACGTGAAATCATCAGAATTTTCGTGGTCTGAGAAAAGAAACCCCGACAGCAAATTATTTTAGTTTCCATTTGGAACTAAACACCGCCCTCATACGTTATGTTGAGGTTAACTTTCGGCATCATAAGAGATGGTAAACACATCCAGTTATTCGCGAAATTCCAACCAAAATATGTATTCATTTTTAAATCAACGTCTTCCTTGGCATTTCCATTCTAACTGCTAAAGGTCCCTACTTTCCCGTGGGCGAAAAAACACCAAACGCTAAAGCGCTGCTAATGAGGACGTGCTCGCACACAAATTAAAGGTGTAATTTATACAACAGAAAGTCGAACGAGACTTTATACATTTAATACCATAATTGCTTTGAAATAGTCTCTTACTTATTGTATCATCTTTCAGTTTTACTGAGTTTAAAAGAGCTCTCAATAGAAAACTTTGAGGCTCAGAATCAAAAAAGCCCACGAAATTCAGTAAAAGTAAAAGACTACCACCAAAACTTGAATACGTTTGTACTTCAAAATTTCAAAAAAAAATTAAAATGTGGTCATCTGAAATATGCGAAATACCGTATTTCATCGAACATGCGCACGCGCACTAATAAGTGCCGGCCATAATATCAAATAAGCGCCTCTCTCGAATAAGTGCCCCCACCTACCTCACGTTCTTTAATCGTAGGGATGCAAAGAAAACCTGTTTATGTTGTCACTTCATTTGCAACTTCTTAAGCTTTACCTACAGCGCAATCAATAAAGGAGAATAGTTATTTCCCGTTACAGTTATTTCTTTCTCTATGTGCTTGCATAGTTCCTTTATGAGTGTTATCTGTCCTTTTAATTTTTAGATGGAACCACCTGATCGGCTGCAACAGCGTGGAAGGCAGACAAGGGAGCTTGGAATCCGGTGCTGAGTTTCAAGTTTGCGAAAATTGGCGATACAAAGAGCGGGACATGCAAAATAGCACAACTGAGTGCAGGTGAAAGAATTAGATTTCATTTTCATATTACAGCCGGCAAATGTGTATATCTACGCGTGAATAGCCTAAAAAGATGCCTCTTTCGAAGTGACCACGTTAAGATCTTCCACTGCGCTATATCCATTAGTTAGAATTCTCATTGGTTTTGATATACATTCCCTGTCTCTGGAAAGAAATTTTAGAAAATTTCTAAAAAATTAAAAAAAAAAAAAAACACTTACACCCACCGATGATAAAAGATTGTATAATTGTCAAATTCGAAAAAGGGCATCTGAAAAATAATAAAAAAAGGACAAAGTTATTTTTAGTGGACAATCACTAAATTGTCTTTTTTTTTTCTTTTTTTGAAATAGGTGCGGTAACTTGTACGTGCAGCTCAAAGCCAATTTGATAGACACAACCCCTAAGTGATCAGAACGCGAGGCCAGTTTGATCCGCGACGCTAATATTGAGTGACACATTTGGAAACCTTTAAAAGAGAACACCATATTAAGCACTCGGCAGATCATTTTCTTGTCTTAGCATTAACATTTTCATCATTGGTGTTTCGCAAAATCCACTGGCTAATGAGAGATCTATCAGCCAATGGTGGATGAAAGTGGAGAGTAAAGCTCTTAAAAACATCACTAATTAAGTATGCTGCTTTCGGGTGTTTGTTCAAAGTTCTTTAAAGGCCAGAAAATGGAAATTTCATACTCAATTTGCAATTCTTTCAGGCCGGACTAGCATGTGAGCAGAAGATTGTAAAGGACTGCTCGACAAAAAGAAGGTGAGATTAAAACCCAAACCAACACAATTTGATAACGGTGGATAGGAGATCCGATTCACGAACCGAAACAGAAGAACCACAAAATTTATGCCACTTTTTTCGGTGTAGAAACGGAGCCGAACATGAAGGAGTTATAATTGCTGTAGGGTAGTAAATTGCATCGTTCGCACGAAAAGCCCTTTCTAAGCTTGTTCCGTTCAAATTGATAAAACAATGACCAGGTTAAAAAAAATCAATTATAAAATTCCGGATCGTCACTTTTTCACCAGAGGGAATTTGAAAGGTGAAATTACCAGCCAGTCGCTTCCGACCTTCGAAAGATATCGTTCTCCGTGTGTTTTCGTTTTATAGACCCAAAATATCACAGGATCTTAAATGAAATAGAAGATCATTGAGGCCTCAGTTTTTCTTCTGCCGGACATACATAAATTTTTTGTAATTTTAAGAGGAAGTTATGTTTCTATTTTAACCGACTGCCATCTTTCCGGTTGGTTAACGCTATTTCGCAACGAAAACAGATGAAAATTACAAGAAGGTAGAGATTAAAAACCGCAGTTGCGTTATCATATATTCCTCACGAACGGAAACCATTTACGCGTTCGCGCGAACAAAACCAAATAATTCACAAGTGACTCGCACTCGGTTTCCATCTTCTTCTGACAAGAAGGCACTATACGCTGATGACAACAAGACATCTTTCTAAAAATAGAAAACGAGTGCAACATTTCTAGCCCCAACTTGAAGAGAAGTAAAAAGAAAAAATAAATAATTAAGAAAAAGGCAACAGATCTTGCCTAAGGCAAGGTTTTCAGAAAAACGACTGAGTTGATTTCCAACCTAGTTTATCGGCAAGTAAAATAAATGATGTAACCATCCTTCTGACGGACAACATTTGCCTTGCTTTCAACAGCAGGCAAGCCTTTTACAAGCTGACCGAGACACAATCTTTTCATTAGCTTTGTAATATGAATATTTTATTTTACAAACTGACGATTTTTTGGCAAGATCACCATATCGTTGTCACTTTTAATTAGTCCCACGCGAAACAGATTTACTCGTAGAATGTTTCTCGAGCTAAAACCTTTTCACTTTGGTGATCAAACAGGACTAATGAAGGACTGTTAAATACATTCAAGGAAAACTTCCCAGATCGACTGTTCGCTGACGTATATCAACTAGGTAAAACCGGGTAAGGACTTTGTTTTATGTCACCAACCAACCATGATTACGTAATTCGACATCACTATCTCCCATGGTTGAAATTGTTTTCGGAAGCCAAAAAATAGAGTACACGTAAAATACACAAACTGTGAACGTAAAAGCGGTTAGCTTACATCCACGAACATGTTTTTCCATTGTGTGGAGTGTCTAAAAAAGTGTTTGTAATCAAACTGGTGTGAATTTCATCTGGCAATCTCCGAGAGGGTCTGTTGAGGATGACAGGCAATACAACGTTTATTTCCAAAACCAGATGCCTTTGTTTTGATAAGAAAACGAAACGAGCTCACTTATCACAACAAGTCAGTATTTAACCGACATCTGAATAAAACGGAATAAACATTCAACTTCGCGGGTATTTTACGTAAACAATCACCATTAACATTGCGAAATCGAAAATGATAAGATATTGACAGAGTTGTAAGTTCAAAACCGAATTTAAGACAATATATGAAGTTTGGACCGATGTTAAAATGCACTCTATCCAAAGAAAATTCCAAATCTGCCCCATACTTTTATTAGCATTCAAAAGGTAATGGGTTTTCCCTTCTTCAATACTTTCACGGGCTATAACACCTGTTCACGTCCTTCATTAGATTTGTTAACTGCATGGTCGGTCGGGAAGTATACCTCACTGATCATTGTCAGCTCATACTGAGTCAGTCAATAACAATGTCTTAAGAGAAATTGGCTTGAAAGACGCTTTGCTATAAATAGAAGACGCTACAATGTTTCCCAGCAAGGTATTAAGGGGAGTCGAAATTATCTAACGGATATAAAAAAAATATATTATGTATTTTGATTCTCAAGTCAGGTTTTGTTCAAGAGAGCAAATTCTCGAGTTATTTTCAAACAGAAAAGTAACTTATAAGCATACGTTATCATTTACAAAGCCAGCCATTTTCAAATGATCAAGCCAGAAAGAAACAAAATTTCTATGAAAAATGATTTCGCGTTCCTTGTGCTAAAAGAATAGAATCAGACCATACTGGTCTGATATCAATTGATATCTTGGCTCCAAAAAAACAGAACGTAAACGTCGGTAAAACTAGAACTGAGTAAAATGCACCGAATGTTGTCCTCTTGACAGCAGAAAAGAAGGGAAAGAACATACCGTGTTTTTATGGATAAATTTATTTATCAGTCCAAGATAGTAACGTTAATGGTTTTAATGGAGGACAACTCATAAATGTGATAATCCAGTCCAAATCAAAATGAGTTTCAAGCGTCATCAGGCAGTCAGAATGTCGGCTGCATCATTCAGCTGACATCCTAAACGCCTGCGGACCTGACTTACGGTTGGCTAGGCGCGTCCGTTAAAAGAAGTAACAAAATGAATGCTAAATAACCACGAGTATCGCTTAGTTTTAAGTGCTTGTAGACCTT